TCTTGTCTTTATTTTTCTCTTCTCTTTTTCTTTTCCTTTTTCCTTTCTTTTTCTTTCCCCTTCTTTCTCTTTCCCTCCCTCTCCCCTCTTTCTTTTCTCTTCTTACCCAGCCCGGTACAACGTCTTGGTCAGCCCGGTAAAAACCGTCAGGGGGGACAGTCTTCCCCCCGCCTGTTACACCACTGCTTATAAGATGAATGGAAATATATTTCGATTTCTAGATGGCGGGAGATGAGCCTTCCTGACTTCTAAAATGTCTTTTAATGACTTTTAAAGTTCTTCAAAATTCAAGGTTTTCCCCTCTTGAAAAAGGTCAGGTAAATTTTTCTCATTTTTTATCTTATGTGTGTATACATACATAAACAAATGAGTAGTTGCATGCGCATTCTTTTTTCCATGAATTGATAAATCCCAAAAAGAAAGGGTGGTCCGGGGGTTCTCCCCTGGGAACATTTTGATTCCTAGATGGCGGAAAATGAGCTTTCCCGACATTTGAAGTGTGTTTTAATGAATTTTATGTTCTTCAAAATTCTAATAAATTGCAAAAAAAAAAAAAAAAAATCAGCTCACGGGTCCTGAAAAGGTAGGTCTAGAATTCTTTTCTTTTTCCCCTTTTTTTGTTGCCCAAGGGAGGGGTCAGGGGTCAGGACCCGGGACACCCCTCCCCCAGATCCGCCAATGTGAATTGCGAGAAAATGTAACTCGGTCGGGTACAGGATAAACATTCTCTATCCCATCCTTCTCCTCTTTCTTTCCTCCTTTTTTCGCATTTCCGATCATACAAAAATCTCCAGACATTATATACATTTTGCCAAAAAGTGGGGGGCCCGAGCCCCGCCCCCTTGCTTCCGCCGGCCATGTATTTATATCTTATGTAGATAATTTTTGTTATTGAAAGTCAATGTAAAGAAACACTCAAATGGTAATGGTATTATATTATATTAATATTTTTGAGATAATTTATGTGTTTGAAATGGTTAAATTTCAATATACAGTAATAGCAAAATTGGTCCTAAGTTATGTAGGTCTTAATTGTAAATATATATCGGTTATGCATATTCAACTAATGTGTTGTTTGTGTCATAATATTCTGTGATTAGCCATGACTGTAATTTTGTATATCTGTCATTGGCCTGCTGGCCAGTCGTACAGTGTCAACTCGTAGCAGCCCTAGCTAGGCTAATAGCCTGTCCACAGAGACAAGTAGGCCAAGGCCTACTTTACTAAGTATGAGGGGTAGCGCTAGGATTTTCCCTACAGGGGATCCGAGATGTCTCCGACAAGAGCAAAATGCGCATGTGTACTGTCGCACTTTGTAATACCTGTCTCACTTTGTAACAAAGTTGTCACACTTTGTAATAACATGTAGCACTTTGTAAAAACTGTTGTCGCACTTTGTAACTATCAAGCTGTCGCACATTGCAATAACACCCTGTCATTCTTAGTAATAAACAGCTGTCGCACTTTTAACATTTAATTATGTTATAAATTTTAATGGATAATAAATAAAATATTGTGCAATGTTGCATATTATGGATGATTAACACTACAGTGTGAAGGTCACGTACAAGTTTTACTAATAATTTGAATTATAATGTTAAAAATGATGGCTTTACTTCGTTGTTGTAATCCCACGTTATTAACAAACTTGAGATTTTCTTTTCTTGTGCGCGTGCATGGTACTACAAGGTCAAGGGCATACAAGTTTTACCTAATACTAATTAGAATTAGATTTCTAAAACTCAGTGGCTTACGCCGTTGTACGTTTTCTCAAATCAACGTATGTTGTGAGATTGTCTTTTGTTGTGCCTGAGCATGATACTACTAAGGTCAAGGCCATATATACACATTTTACTATTAATTATAGAATTATAATATTTGAACTAATTTCTATGTTCAAGTTGATAACCTAAGTTATGGACAAGTTAATTTCAAAAAATATTTTTATGATATTTTTTGGTATTTAGCATGGAACAATATATGTTTAAACTCCGTGGTTTACTGCGTTGTATGTAACTCCAAATGAACGTACAGTATGTTGTGATGGTTTCTTTCCTTTCCTTTTTTTTTTGTGCAAGTGCATGATATACTACAATCTCAAGGTCATAATACACGTTTTACTAATAATTAGGATTATAATTTTAAAGCTTGGTGGCTTATTGCGTTCATGAAATCTAAATCAGCGTATGATGTGATATTTCCTCATTGTGCTCGTGCATGATACTACAGATTACATATAAGTTTTACAAATACTTATAAAATTATACAGTAAATTCTAACTCAGTATAACGTTCTCAAATCGACGTATGTTGTGAGATTTTCTTTTGTTGCGCATTTAGTTGATACTACAAGATCAAGGTCATATACAACTGCTACTAAATTTACAAATAATAAAATTTAAAAAATAATAATAATAATAAAACAAACAAACAAACAAACAAACAAACAAACAATAAGTGAGATTTTAACCCCATAGGTTCTATTATCTTTACACAAAAAACGTGCACCTCTACCGCTCGGCTATATTTCACCTGATAACATAGCTATTATTATTATTATTATTATTATTATTATACATTTTATGTGTATTGTACATGTATAATGACAAATAAATCTATTGAGTTGAGTTGAGTATACCCCTATAATACGACCAGCGGATACAAGGATATGGCGTGACAGCAGGGCGAGGGTTTGTAATTTCAGATTATTTGTGCATCTTATAGAATTTGTTTTTTTATATTTCATTATTTAACACATTTTCTTTATTAAAATTGGGACAGCAGTTAAAAAACATTATAAAATCTGCATTTTCTCCAATCCATCTGCCAAACGAGGCCTAGCATAGGCCTCGAGTAGCAAGCCCATCAGTCGGACTTGCACGCCTTCGGGCTGCTTCCAGTCCGCTGGCCAGAAATTTACACAAAGTCGGTTCGCTCGAGTCGGTCCGCTCAAGACAACCTGGCCTAGCCAAATGACTCAGTGGACGATCCGCTCGAGTTAGCTCGACAAGACTATATAAATAATGTTCTAAAATCTACATCTTACTTCTGATGAACACCAAAATCGAGGAGGACCGAGGTACATGTAATATTGTCAATGTTTTAAAGTTTGAGGTTAAATGGTCTCGTAGTTTTTGAGTTACTCCCTGAAGGACAATAACAAATGTTACAGAGAGGCAGACCGACAGACGGAGCTCATTGCAATATCCTCACCCCACTTCGCGGGGAAAGCATAATGCGAGGGTAATTATTAGTAAACTAGTTTATGACCTTGACTTTGTATTATTATCAACACGCGCGCGCAAGATAAAAATCTTAAATTTTTTGATTTGGGATTACATACGGGTCTACAATGCAGCCTCGCTGCGTCGTACGACGAATCCAACTCGCATCCATGTGAGCAATAGATGACGCAACGCCGTCTGATGATTGTCGGTAGCAGTCTGAACGGATCGTAGCAGTCTAAACAGATCGTCATTAAAAACGATCCGTTGTGCGCGCGTCGTCGGGTTGCGTTCTTCATAGAATCGCGTCGGACGACGACTGTGGTGCGCAGTGAGTGCCCGGCTTTAGGCACCGAGTTTTGAAATTATAATCCAAATTATTATTTAAACAAGTGTATGACCTTGACCTTGTAGTATTAGTCATCTATAATTTGTAACGTTCTCGTTTTTATCCATTAAAAAGTTATATCATAATTAATATAAAAAGTTATTACAATGTGCGACAGATTTTATTACAAAGTGCGACAGCTCAGTTTATTACAATGTGTAACAGGCAGTTATTACAAAGTGCGACAACTTGATTGTTACAAAGTGCGACAGCTTGATTTTTAAAAAGTGCGATAACAAAGTGCGACAGGTATTACTAAGTGCGACGATTATTTCAAAGTGCGACACTACACGCGTGGTCGGGCGTCCGCCTAAAATCTTTTGAAATTGGTCCTGGTGGTGAAGCCCTAAACTTGTTCTTGGGCGGATCAAGAGATTTTCCAGCCCCACCATGGTTGGTGAAATTAAATGGTAAACAATCGAGCTCTTCTTTCGCCCACTGCTGGATCGAAACTGAACTCATGGGTGCACTCCTTTTCTTCCTCTTCCTTCTCTTTATATAAAATATTTCTCCCTATTTTATTTGCCGGCTTGCCTGATGAGTGCACGGGTCCTAATGCCCCTCCCCCCATCGTCAGATCCGCCCCTGATATGGTGGGATTAGTTATAGGCCTAACGTCCATGGTTAAAAGTAGTGAAAAATGTATGCCTTCTGTTGGTCATTTGTTAAATCAGCGAAGGACCAATCATCGAAGCTGAAAGAACATTTTTTCATCCTAAGTTCGCACACAACCTTGAAACCTTCACTTGTCTTGGGACAGCTGACGAGCCAATAATCTGCCAAGTACGGTATGTAATGCAAATATTTTATTGGATTCACTTTTGCATCAGTGGCACACATCAGACAATACCTCATGGTGCATCCAAAAGGAAAAAAATGTAAAGAAATTAAATCAAGTTAAAAACAAAAGGAACAACAGGAACAATAATGAATTAATGGCCTAAAGTTACAGTATGATGGAAACTTATAGAAGTAAAATACGTGAATACATAACTTGGTGTTCGAAATGGGATAGTATAATATGGTTTGCAGTTGAAATATATAGACCAATTAAATGAGACACAATTTTCTTCTTTTTAACTTACAAACCTCTGTTAAAATGTTGCACTCATTTGACGCCATTTCGTGTAAAAATAAAAAACAGCTGCTAAATCAGTGTGCCCTCGCAATTAATGGAAGGTATTTCTACATATACGGTATGTATACCTCTGTGGTTTGATATTGGCCTACCAGAAATGAAGCATATTCAAAACCCAAAATATCAAATATCGAATATGAAAGCTACATCACTGTAGCAATATACTTATGATCAGAAATTTCAAAATAGCAGATAGAAAGCAATTCAAAAATATCAACTAGGCCTATATCATATAGCTAAAAACTTAATTTAGCGTATTCATATAGAGCAGGTTATAAAGAAGCACAAATATCAAATACGGCAGCTATATCAGTGTAGCAACATACTTAAGATCAGAAATTTAAAAAGAGCTGTGTGATATGAAGCATATTTCGAATAAGAAATATCGGCTATCAAATATAGCAGCTATATCATTGTGCAACATACACAAATTCAGGTAGTTCAAAATTGCTGATATGAAACATATTAGGAATCAAAAGTATTAACTATTAAATATAACTCCTATACCAGTGAAAAACTCAAATTCAGAAACTTTAAAATAGCTCATATAAAGTATTGCAATCAAACGATATGTGTTTGCTAATGATGCTTGTAAATAATTTAAGCTAGATGTGCATTATACATATAATCTTTGAAATCATACATATCTTGTAAGTTTAAAAATTTAGTCAAACTGTTTGTCAATTAGTTTGTTTTACCTTAGAAATTATCAAATGCCATAACTACCACAAACACCTTATGTAAAAAAAAAGCACTAACAGAAATCAAAACCGTTTATATTCAGCTAGTCTGTCACTTATTTAACCAAAGGCATGAAGCTTGTACTTTCCCTTGGTGATGACAACAAAGCGACGTTTTGGGCCCCGGTAATGAACATCTGCATTTTTTTTTATGACGCCTAATCCCGGATATTTAGTGCACCCCTTCCTAAATTTATACGGAAGTGATCTGTAAACTTTGTCAGCTTTTAAAGACTTTTTACGAAATCCAAAAACAATGAAAACACGTTTGTAGGTTTTTGCTTTTATGAGCTTTTTTTTGGCGAGTTTCAAATTAATGGGCCTTTTTCTTTGATCAACGCTTGCCACGGCGATATTTCTGCCAAACTTGAAGCGTGGTGGAGATCCGTGGCAAGCTTTGATATGATACTCCTTCTTTCCTTTAAGTTTGTTGTAAACAACAATGAGCCAATCCCTCCAATAATATTTTTCAGTGAGGAATGCATAGAATTTGTTAGCGAAATTCCTATTACTCTGGCCTTTTAACAAAGCCAATTTGTCATTTAAATCGGCTTTGACCTGTTCAGGCCAAGCGATGGTCACTTTTTTGTCTACCCTTTTCATATGGTTAATTAACTTTTTAATATTTTCTTCCCAAGTTTTCTTTTCGTCTTCATATGTGGCATCTCGACCTTTGGCTTTCAGGTAGGATAAATGGACTTTCAAACCCTGTAATATTAAGTTCATAACTCCTTTCATAATTCTTTGAACTCGTCTGCGGTGGTTATCTGTATATTTCATGGCTATTTCCGGAATGTTATCCGACAGACCAGTTTGCTCCATCATACCGCGCCAGAGTTTGTATGTGGCGCTGCCGTAAGTCGACTCGTAAGCACTGATAAATGTTGCCTTCTGTCCTTGCACTGCCTCAGTTGGAGCGCTTAGAAACTGTTCTAGGCGATAAGACAAAGCCGATATTGTGCGTTCGTATTCTCCATACTGAGCTTTAAGGGATGTTTCTTGAATAAGATTTTTCACTTCATTAAATTTCGTAAACACTTTGTCAAACTTTTGGTCCATTTCGGTGAATTTTTTCTTCATATATTGCAATTCAGGAGACGGTGAACTTGGCAAGAATATGGAAATCAACGCTACTGCTGGGCCAATGGCACCCAGGAATGGACCAATATTCGATGCGATCTGACCGATTTTACCAAAAGTCTTTGACAAGTTTTCATCAGCAAAAACTTCGACGATCGCATTTCCGGCTTCTATACCAGCATTGACCATGCCAAGAACTTCATTTTCATCCGCTCCGTAGCCCCATGAAGCAAAAACCAAAACACATATTAAAGCAATATACATGTTTTTTTTTTAGCCTGAAAATAAAAAAAAAATCCATATAGAAGCTAACAGGAAATCATTTTTAGATCTACAGCACATTTGATACAGGGTTACCCTTAACACACCTACGTTTTAACATGGGTAATTTTATTTAATTACGAAACTAACTTTTAAACAAAATGTTATAAACCCAAGAAATAGTTTGCTTTTTAGGAGAGACCTGATGAATTGATCAGGCGTTAGAAACGAGGGGCGGATTTAGAGGGGGCAGGAACCGTGCCGGCACGTCCCATTATGGGTCTGCAGATATCTCATATGGTTCTCTGAAACAGTTTTTGACTCGATAACACAATGATATCACAGTTATTAGGCCTGTTGTATTTTTACCCTCGCCCTACGAAGTAGCAATAGACCTTTCCGCTAAGCCCCGCTCCCTGGTCCCTAGTCGTTCGCTACTTCTTTAGCGCACGAAAAACTATGAACATTCAATGCCACAAACATCCTACCAGGTACCCATTTATACTCCTGGGTAGAGAGAGGCAAACGTAGATAAAGTGCCTTGCCCAAGACACAAGCATCTTGCACAGCGAGAGTTTCGAACCCCTAGCCTCAAGGTTGGGAATCCAAGTCACAATCGATGCGCTAATCACTTCTACATATACATCTACACTAAAGTTGATAGAAAATGTTGGCGATTGATGCGGAAGTCTTATCCATCTGCATGGTTTCATATCGAGATTTCTTGAAAATCGGGGTAAGATCACAGGAAGGTTTCGACTTTAAAAATAGGAAACTACATTTAATAATATTAATTATTTAAGCATGGATTTCACGCCTTCCCGTTCCTGAAGTCCACAATCTGGTCTCCCCCCTCCCAGGTTCGAGTACAAATAGGCCTACAGTAGTGATACCGTCACCGGTCTAGTCAAGAGGCAATCTAAATCTGTCAATGATATTTTGGCTAATTTTTATAACATCCAGGCCATACGGAAATTAAAATAATCGCTATATAAGATCAAGGACTTTTAACTGTTACCAGGATAGGAAGCTGGCTGGTTTAAGCCGTCTAACTTGAATTAGCCTTATGTGCGGAATTGTTATGCAAATGAGCCAGATAAGCACAATCTCTGCACATGCTTAGAAAAACAAAAACTTGAACATTAACATTTTTGTACCATTCAGCTCCCGGTGGTTGACCTAAACGTTATGTAAACAGAATTACAATCAAAATAAAAAGGCATTAAACCAGTGCATTTCATGTAGTGTACAGTATTAATTCTTTTCTGAAGTTATCTACTGTTATCTAGCCATATTTACTATACGTTGATCTGAGACTAAAATATGCGGACTACCTAAACCAATCCATCCATCAATCAATATGGCTTTGTATAGTGTCAAAATATGTTCAGTAAAAATAATAATATTAAAACAAATTAAATATATGATGACAAAATAATCCACACACACAGAAGCTTCTTTATACTGTAATTGAATCATAATGATCAGAATTAATTTTCAATGGCATACATCTAACATACATCTTTTATTTAAATTCAACACCAATAGTTTGAATCTACATAGGGCCACCAAGAGAGGGAAGGAGGAAAAGATCCACAGGGCCCTAGTTTACCAGGAAGCCCATATAAATTGCAGGTAGAATTTTGTTTCCCATATAAAAAGAAATAATTACTATCATGGGCCCTCAATAATAGCATGGGTCCCCTAATAATGGGCTCCTCCAGATTGACAGGGCCCCATCAAAAAAACTGTTTGCGCCTTCGCGCAATCTTTCTCGCGTTCACGCTCGTAACTGGGGGCCCACACCAACCCTTGCCCCTGTTACAGTTTCCCCTCTTGGCGGCCCGCTAGCGGCCCTGAATCTACATAAGAAATTACACATACAATATACACATCTTGTGTAGACCTTTTTGTATTTATACAGGCCATAGCCTCAAAGTATTTAATATCTTTTTTCAAACAGAGGATAAAAGGATGTTTTTACCTTTAATGTATCAGCAAACCTAATAATTACATACAGCATTATAAATAAAAACTAAAAATGTAAAGTACACTGATGATATAAAATGGGACTTGTACAATGCCGTAGCCAGGATTTTCAACCAGTGCAGGACAATATCAGGGTGGACCCACTTTTCGCGTAAATTAAAAACAATGTGGACCCATTTTACCCAAAAAATATGAAAAATCTGAACCCATTCTTCAAAAATTGGACCCATTTCATGCATAAAAATTACATAATTTGGACCAATTTTTAAAAATTGTGGACCCATTCTTTGTGGACTAATTAGAAAAATGGTGTGGGACTGTCCCAACTGTCCCAATAACTGGCTACGGCATTGGACTTGTAATTGTTAACTTTAGAAGTCGATCGGAATGCATATCCACCAGTGAATATATAATTAGTACTTTTCATGAGTATTACAAATGTCACCAAAATTGTATAAGGATATCTATTCACACTTTCCAGTACTTATATGACAGATTGATAAGCAGGTAATATAATTTTATATTTCAAATATATTGCTATATAATTAATTAAGTAATAGATGTAATATGTTCTCAATGTTATGTATATCTATTAAAATGTTCAACATAAAACATTTATTCTTTATTTTACAATTGTTTTTTTATATTGCACACCTAATGCTGCCAACATTATTCTCTTCATTTACTTTCTTAATAATATTCAAGTTTACAATACAAGAGGTAACAAATTTCAGCACAAACTCCTATATACCAAACCCTGTAGGCCACAGTTACCATTTTTTAATCATATGAAAAATCTACTCATGACTATCCTAACTAAATTTGGTGTTTAAACATATGCATTGAAAAGCCATTTTGAATTTCAAGATTGCCGCCATAAAAACCATCAAAAAATGAATATTCTTCTGATATGTAATTCCACTTCTATTTGATGATAAATGCTAAATCTGGTGTCAAATTATATGCTATTGTGTCAACTGAGATGTCAGCTGCTATGATGGCAGCCATTTTTAAATTCAAGAAGGCTGCCATGAAAATTGCCAAAAATCAATATATAGAGAGACACAACATGTGATTAGACACGAAATTGTTGCCATTTCGGCTACGAAAAATTTAAACAATTAACAAAATATTGATTTTTCGACAATTTTTGTGGCTGCAATCTTCACTTTTAAAATGGCTGCCCTCCTACCTTATTTGAAATCATGTTTATTGAACTCAGTTGACACAAAACCATATAATTTGACACCAAATTTGAATTCCAAAATAGCTGCCATCCTAGATATATGAAACCATGTATATTGGACTCAAAGAGCCGAATAACATATGCTTAAACACCAAATTTAGCATTTTTCATCAGTGAAATTACAAACTAAAATATTCGATTTTTGAGGATATTTATGGCGGCCATCTTGAATTTCAAAATGATTACCATCCTAGCTTTTTGAAACTATATTTATTGTATTCAGAGAGCCCAAAATCATATGATTAGATCCAAATTCAACATTTTCCATAGAGGAAATGTGGAATTAGACTGAAAAATAATTTTTTTACCATTTTTAAGGCGGCCATCTTGTGTTTCAATATGGCTGCCATTTTACGTTTTCGAAACCTGTCTCATTGGCTTCAGTGCAACCAACATATATATTCATATATGTTGGTATTTTTATGTACGAATCATTACAATTCAGCTTCTTAGGAAGATGCGAATTGTAAAGTTAAAATCGCAACAACAATTCGAATTAAATTAAATGTTGTAAATCATGTTGCGTCAAAAATTAAAACTTTGTTAAAAAGCACAACATATTTTATAGGCTGATTATACGTTAAACTACAAACTATATTTCACTTTTGCTTTAACAAGATGTAAATTGTATGTTGTTGCTATAATTTATAAATCTATACCCGTTTTAAACGTTTATTGTTGAAATAAAGTTATGTAAATAATCAGTACTTGGTTAAAGATCATAACAAATTTTTAACGTTGATTCTACATTGCAATTAAAAAAAAACATATTTCAAATCAACGTTGAAAAAATGTTGAAAACATGTTGTAAATGTAATGTTAATATCTCAACCAGATTTTAAAAGTAAATTCAATGTTGAAATAATGTTGGGTAAAAAACCTAAAAAATACAATATATTCTAAACGTTGATCTTACGTTAAAATACAAACTATATCTAAACCTAACATTGAAAAGACATGTTTATGTTGTTTTCAACGTAAATTTAAATTGCGTTAAATTAATTGAATAACGTTAAATAGGCAATAGGTTTTTGGTTGAAAATTTCAATGTTGATTTTACATTAAAATACAAACTATATTTTAAAATGACGTTGAAAAGATGTTAAATTGAAAATTATCAACTAGATTTTAGAAATAATTCAACGTTGAAATATCGTTGTGTGCCTATTCAGTTACTTGTAGACATCGCACACATCTCCCACTATACATAATTTGGACTGGCTTCCCACTAATTCACGAATAAAGTATAAACTCCTCCTACTAACACTTAAAGCACTACGACTTCAACAGCAACTTACCTATTTGATCTCTTTCATAAATAAACATATTATGTGTCCTTAGCCTCCCTCCGTTCTTCTGACCTTAACTTGCTGTTTGTTTCTAACAATGTTGTCAACATGATTTCAACGTTGAAATATCGTTGTGTGCCTATTTAGTTACTTATAGACATCGCACACATCTCCCATTATACATAATTTGGACTAGCTTCAAACTAATTCACGAATAAAGTATAAAATCCTCCTTCTAACACTTAAAGCACTACGACTTCAACAGCAACTTACCTATTTTATCTCTTTCCTAAATCTTAGCTTCCCTCCGTTCTTCTGACCTTAACTTGCTGATTGTTTCTAAAATTCTTGCAGTAAACAAGGCAAATCGTTCTGAAAAGAACTGTTTTTGTTAAGAATGTCTCGTCGACGTTTAGGCTTCAATCGTCATCAGGAGAGCAGTATCTGCACAGAGTCCAAACAGGGAAATACTTATGTGATTGGATAGTGAAGCTTGCTGCTGATTGGTGGAAAGCCAAGAAGTACACCTGGACAACTAACCAATCACTCGCGAGTGTTTTCAAAGGTGTTCAAACTGTTGGCTGTCACTGGATTTTCCCCTGGAGATTTAATGGAGTTTACCACCAAGAGCGTCGGAAACGGTCCAGCTGGTCCGGTTTTGGTCGGACTAATAATTTACAACTCAATAATTATCGTTTGTAAGCTAAATTCTACTTTCTCTGACGCAATCAAACATAACTTGCACATTTAGCTTATTGAAAGTACGGAACAAATATGAAATGATTTCATTTTTACTATAGTTAAGTATCAGTAGCTTAGGCCTATTTATCATGATTTATTCAGCACGTTTCAATAGCATAATTCAAGGGTCTTCGTTTTATAGACACCCTATATGGGTGTCTACAAAACGAAGACCGAAGACCCGAAAAACGAAGACCCACATTTTTCTCCCAATCGTGATAAAATAATGAAATAGGTACTTGGCAACTGTTTTATGATGATTTTGAAATACTTTCAATAAGATAATTCAGAAATAATTGGAGGTCTTTGTTTTTCTGGTCTTCGGTCTTCTTTTTATATTTTCATTAAAAAAAATTTCACAAACAGACGCCCAAAAAATTTCGTAATTTTCTTAATTTTGATTTTGTGAAAGCCTGGCGTATTATCATCAAAATGAAAGAGAAAAAAAAATCAAAATAGGGGTCTTCGTTTTTGGGTCTTCGGTCTTCGTTTTATAGACACTTAAGAAGCAACATGCGCGTAGTCAGTAGTACACTGAGTTTGCGTAACTAATGAAAGTTTGAATAGACTTGCTTTTACAGCCGTCTAATAAACGTCACGTGATATTCAATGGCGATATAAATTGCACAATATTCTACTGCATTGTAATTGGTAAGTACTGCATAGTGTTTGGTAAGTACTGCATAGTGTTTGGTAAGTACTGCATAGTGATTGGTAAGTACTACATATTGTTTGGTAAGTACTGCATAGTGATTGGTAAGTACTGCATAGTGATTGATAAGTACTGCATAACAATTAGTCAGTACTGCATAACGATTGGTCAATACTGCATAACGATTGGTAAGTACTGGATAACGATTGATAATGACTGTATAGTGATTGGTAATTACTGCACGATGATTGTGAACTGAGGGCAGAGGAGGCGTTCCATATACCTGCATCCTTTTTTCCTGTGTTGTTCTTCATCGTTTTGCTTGGCTTGTCCGTATCATATATCAAACTGTTGAGTGTGTATTGCAATACATCAAACATTGATTTATCATTGCAGCCCTATGGAGTAGTCCTTTTAAAAGTTACTTTTATACACTGGTCTTAGTCCGTCATGTCATGTCGAAGTTTTCTATACATGACAGTTAATTAATTTTCTCGATATTAAGAGTTAGCGCACACACTCATACGCACACACCCCCACCCTCCCACACACACACACACGTTCCTCCACATATTTTTGAGGGGGTTTGTCCTCCACGTTTCGACTGCAATGTAATTTCATAACTAAAGATGATGCCTGAAATTTGGTGAAATGAGCTGCATAAATGACCCAGGTTTTAATGAAAAAGCGTTGTACAGCCTGAGTACAGTACTTTACATTTTATATAATATGGACTATTTAATTGGATATTTATTTTAAAACAGCGCCGCCAACGTCCCACCACTCACTGGAGACTTCCAGCGGGCGATTGTTTTAAAGGTAGGATAGTTTGTTAATATCTCATGAATTATTCATAATCATCCTTATAGAACATATTTTCCGCATGCGATATTTTCAAGCTTATGTCAGCCTCAATGATCAGCTGCTCTTTGCTTCGTCACGAGGGACCTACTGTTCGTATAAAAAATGAATAAATAAATCAATAAAATTTGATTTTGGGCGAATTTAGCGGATACAATTGATATAAATGCGGCTGGGTGGATGTAGGGGTGTGAGTGGAGACGGTGCGATCGCACCCCCTAAATTGTATTATGAAAAATATTTGTTATATTGTTGAAATGAATTACCGGTCAGATTTTTAAAGGTATGAGAGTGCAATTTCCAATTTCTGAATAATTCATGAGATTTTACCAAAATATCATACGTTTAAAAAAATATGCGCCCAGGGAGATATTTTTACAGACCACCCACTTGATCCCCTATATGGTTGACACTGATGGAAAAATGGTATGATAATGGCACATCTAGTTTGCCGGAAATGTCACACTCAGACAGGTGGCTGCTGGGACTTCCTTCGAATCTGCCACTGCATTTTCCCAGTGGCGAAATTTGGTTCCGATGGGCCCTTTTTCGAGAGTACAGTCATCGCACAGGTTAAGAATGCTATATTTAGAAAAATTATGACCAAATCACAATTAGTTTATATAATATAAAAGACAGTGTATTGCGAAAATAAATTGTTCAACATTTCTTATCTATGAGATGCTAATTCCTTAATGAATAAATAAAGTGCAAGAAACACGAACACATTATATATCAATCAATCAATTTATTCATCAACTTTAGGCCATTGGCCCTTTGTATACATAAAGAATCATACAATAATAGCGAACAATGTGGAAAATCAAATAGTTGTAAAAGGTTATCTATCTCCGTTCTCCTCTTAAATGCATGGTGTAAATAAATGCATATTTTTTGTATTATTAGTGGACTGTGCGAGCTCATTAAGGAAATAAAGTTATATTGTGTAGGGAAACGAACATAATATCGTGGGATGTATTTTTCTCTTAAATCACTGTATAATTTACATTTGAGAAGAGAATGTAATTCATCTTCAATATCCCCCTTACAAAAGCAAATTCTATCCTCAAAGTTAATATTTAACTTTCTACTTTCCTCAATGTTTAAGTTGTGGCTAGAAATGCGGAACGAAGTAAAGATCTTTTTGAAATATGGATTTAAATTAGAAGAAAGGTAGTTTTCAGAAGCAATATAATATTTGAATGAACAGTAACTTGGAGCCCATTTGACTCGTTAACTTGTGACTCCCATTCTTGTTGGTCAATATCTGAAGAACGTTGTTTAACAAGACTTAAAAAGCAAACATCATCACCAACACTTTGGTTAAGCCATGCATCCCCGAACCCATAATTGAATAGAAGTGAACAAACTGCGTTAGCCCAACAGTTTTTATCATTATCAACAAATCGCAATTGTTCTATATAAGCGTTATGAATTATTCTATTTCTATCGATTTTTAGAATACGTAACCAATACTTAACAAGTTTATATATTATATTGGCTCGTACACTATATCTCCCTAACTCGCCTCTTACAGCCAAATAACGGAGTTATTTTTCTGATTTAATATGAATTTACAACAATTATTTTGAACATATTCCAAATCAGCTCCTTTAATATAGCCCTACACCTCACAACAATAATTAAGAATAGGCATTACTTTTACATCAAATACCTTTAAACAAATGTCAATACTTAATTCAGGTAAGGATCTTAAACTAGGCATGAGAGAAAAAGTTGCTTTGGTAGCTTGCTCGGCAAGAACGGATTGGGTTTTTGACCATATTCCTCTGGAGGACAGTGTAATTCCTAAATATTTAAAATATGGAACAACTTCAATATATAATGCAATATGAATAACATTGACTATTTAGGTCTATTATATTTATACAAGTTGACGGACGTTGTCAAATACCTATAAAAAAAAGTTTCTAGATTCAAGAACACCTAATTGCCCCTGTTAAAATAGGAATTGGTTTTTCCTTTGCAACAGTCTTTTGTTAAAAAGGATAAAATTACATAAAAAAAATCACAAGACAAAACAACTTGGCAATGTCGAGAAATAAGATAAAATATCAACAAGTTAAACTAGTAAAGTAGTAAAAAGTCAAAATAAAATTCACTGTTTAAAACTGTATACAAATTACTATCTGTACCTCAGAAACAGACCGGCCATTTTAGCAATGATTAAAACTATAAAACCTAGCATTTTGCTATAAAATGATGACATTATGCTAATTAAACAAAACATGTGTTATGTATACACAGGGTACAGTATGCTTATTCCTCCATGAATAAATTAAGTGCAAGAAACACGAAAATAATTATATTATATAATGCAATATGAATAACAAATAATGTGTGCTATAATATTTATACGAGTTGATGGATTCTGTGAAATACATATAAAAAGGTGTGGCTTAATTAAATTAAACATGTGTTATGAATACACAGGGTACAATATGCTATGCATTATTTAGTAAAACTATTAAATGTCTGTTGAATTAAGCCAGGTGAATACGTTAGACTTTCAACTAACAGACTGCTGATATGTTATTTAGTAAACATTTCGGTTTATTAATGGCAGGAGGACCATGTATGTAAGTATTCTCATCATATGGACAGATCTACCAAGTGATAAATACTTGATAGAGCAATACGAATCGGGGGAATCAACTTTGGGTGGAGGGTCAATATAAAGGTACTGTACGTTTCTACAGGGGTTCAATTCAGGCCCTACAACGGCTCCGGTTTGGGTGGTAGGACAAACGCCAGGGGAAATCAGCAGTTTTGATTAGATACTTATTAACTGATGATTAGATACTTATCAACATACTAAGCGCCCCCCCCCTTTGTACAGAGTGTTAAAATTTAAAGCCTATTTTTGAGCCAATACAAATTCTTTTCTAGGATCACTCAAAATTAATACTTCTAAAACATGTAAATATGCATCAGTACACGTTATACATAGGCCTAATAGAACACATAGGCCTAAATCCATAAATCTCAGGCCAGGTCTTTTAAGACAGAAATGCGATACTGTGGTTCAATTTCGTTTTTATCCTTATGAAAGTTTCTTTAAATTTCTATTTAATAATACTTACTACTAATAGTAATAATAATAATAACAATGATGATGATGACAATAGTAATAATTGATAATAATATT